GGCATGTTAATCGAGATCGCAGTAACTGGTTTTTTGTTTGCGTGGTAAGTAAACAACCTAGCTACTTTAAATTGGCAGGAAATTATGCTTTTTTTATCAGTTCTATCATTAAGCATAATTTCATGGCTAGTTGGCAATCCTTTATAGGTATTCTAGTAAGGTTAGGCTATTGTCATAGAATCATTTCAGCTTTGCCTCTTGACAAGATGAAAGTAGAGACTGTTTCTTTCTTACTTCTCCAAAGAAAATGGGTGGAGATTTTATAGCCCTTTAATATAAAAAAGAAGGTTGGCATCTGGAGAATGAGGTTTCCTTGATGCACACAAAGCTTTTAAAAAAAGACCTTTCTTGCTAATCAGTTTGTTCCCCTGACCACTTCACTAGGGCTGTTTTAAGACCCTTACCGAGGAAAATTTTGCCCCACTGAAGTGTTTGGGGGAACTCTGGCTGATAGTTGACACTGGTTAGCAGGAAATATTGTTGAAGGCTAATTTCATGGATAGGCAGGCTTTTCTAGTAACATGTAAACTAGTTCATCCTTTTATGTTATTCAATGCTGTTTGATGAAACCATCTCTTCCACACTTGTTCATGTGACATAGTCAGGGGCTCTCTACTGTCTTCCCCTTCCCTTGTACCTTCCCCATCCACTGACAAGTACATTGGTAAACTGAAACATCATTTTTGGTTTCTATCTTGCTCATAGTGGTTTCTCTTGATTTTCCACTTTCAATTTTCATAGGCTTGCAGATACTCTAATGCCTTCAATCTCTCTTTTTCTTGCTGTATTTTTATTTTTATCTTGCATAATTATCATCTACTGCTCCAACATTGCCTGCATTGAGAATGTATATGGACCCAGGGGACTTGTGATTTTTCCTTTCCCCCTATTTTGGCTGCTTCCCTTTTCCTTTGGGTGGTATCTGCATCAATTTGGAGTCTACAAATGCTCTTTTTTGCTCATTTTCTCATTTCATATGACATCGGAGGTATCGTACACTGTTTTCTTTTGAGATCAGCATTTGCTTTTCTCTCTCTCAATGGCTGGGAAGAATGCACTTTAGACATTAACTCCATGAAAACATACATGCTAAAAGATTTTACTTTATTTCAAAGGAATGTTTAGAGCCTAATAAATAATTTATTATAAAGCATATGATGAATGAAAAAGATTTTTCCAGGTGACTTGTGAGCATTCAGCTTTGATACCAGATGGCAAAAGAAGGCACTTGAAGTAAAAAATGTATTATTTAGAGAAATACATGAGACTTTTGAGAGAATATCTTAATTTATTTTGTGTTAATGTGACGTGAAACTTCTTCAAATAGATTTAAAAGTAAAAGGATGATTTTCACTGTTAAGGATTTTGTTGTATGCTAAAGTTGCTTCTTGCCTTCTTGCTTGCTATAAAAAACAGGCCACAACTAAACTAAACAGTGCATTAGACATGCTATCATGGAACGGTGCATGCCTTCTTAAACACGTGGTTACTTTTTAGTCAAGTTGGCTCTCTTTTGGTAGCTTGGGTAAAAGCCTGTCCTTTGAGGGATATAAATTTCTGGCATCTTGCTTGCCCCCAAGATTCTAGTTGGCATTGGAGGAAACTCCTTAAATTGGGAAATTTAGGCAATAAGCTTTTGAAGCATAGAATTGGGGATGGGAAGAGAATACACTTCTTGTTTTACAACAGGTTTGAAACTGGTCCACTTATTGCCTATGGCAGAGGCATTCCATCACAGATTGCCATCGCTGAGAATGCAACTGTGGCTTCTGTTCTCTTCAATGAAGATTGGACAGTGGACTTGATCCCTCATCACCTCTCCAGACTTGAGGAATGTACATCAGGCTTTGACTGATCTTACAATTAATGCAGAAGAGGATGTTGTTGTCTGCATCAAGGTCTAGAAAGTTTGCACTTTCAGATACTTGGGTTTGGATCAAGGATAAACGTTTCAGTGGCTTGGCTTAACCTGGTCGGGAACTCCTCTTCTCTTCCAAAGCTTAGTTTTGTTACTTGGTTTGCTGTTTTTGATAGATTAAGTACCCTCTCTCGTATCAGAAGTTGGGGTATTCAACTGTCAAAAACTACTTGCTATTTCTGCAGTGCTGAGGATGAGAATCGAGATCATGTTTTCTTCTCCTGTAACCTCCTGGAGATTAGTTCTAGAAAGGTGTGGCATTGGTAGAAGGTTTCGAAGTTGGCAAGAAGAGCTTAGCTGGAGTATTGACCGTTCCAGGCGGGGAAAACTTCCCTGCTATTCTTCTGAGAGGTGTATGGACATCAAGCATTTATCATACATGGCATGCTAAGAATTTATAAAGTTTGGTAGTTATTAGGCATTGGTTTTAATTGTTTATCCAAATTTTTAAAAAATTCAGCAAGTCTTTCCATTAGATCCTTATGTCCTGTTTCTTTAGATAATGAAATACTGCTTATGAAAAAACAAAAACCTAAACAGTAAACTCTAAAAATAAATAAAAATTAGCTACTACTTGAAGCATAAAATAATTAAGACCAAATTACTAGCAAAATCTTTTTTGAAAGACATTCACAAATAATACAAGAATTCGAATTGGTTTGATGTTTATCTACGACAAGAAAGATAAAAAACGAAACCCCTAACTCTCAGTTGGCATCTCAAATCGACAAATAGGACAATAATGGCTCTGCTTCAACCATGTTTCGATGCAGATAGCATGAAAAGTATGAGAACAAGGCATCCGAGAAGCACCTGATCCAACCTTGATTTCCTCCAAACATATAACGCAATCTTCGCCTTTCACCTTCCTTTTCTTGATGTTTTCTTCACCCTTTTCACGTTCATCTCGATCTTCCACTCTAACCCTCTTCAGCATCTTCTTAACCGATGACTCCTTCGCTGGAACCATGCCATAGTTACTCTCTAATGCTGATTCCTCCAAAGCTCTTCTGACCAAAAACCTCTCGTTGTTTACGTGTTCTTCGACTGTTCCCCATAGCTCTAAACGTAAAGGCAAGACTTTACGTCCCATGTTGGACGCCAAGTTTCCGATTCTAAGTCCATGTCGGATAATCTCATCAATGACAATGTCAAAAGTAAGAGACTCTGGGTTGATACGAAGTCTTGTTAACATGGGACCAAGAATTTGCTTAGCCTGGTCTTGGTTTTTCAAAACATGGAGATCGAAACGAAGAGTTTCTTGGGAGAAGTTGTTGCTGTATTCGGTGAAGCGGCCAATTAAGCAATCATGGCGGACAATCAGGATATCGAGGGTGATTGTTACTTCAATTTGGACGAAACGAGGAGCTGGGTAATGGGGTTCTGGTATAGTATTGGGTTGAAAAACTTCGTGGTACAGGCCATTACAGCGGTAGGAAACCGAAGCCATTGGAGAAACTTGAAGAGAAAGTTTCTGTTTGAAACAATCAGAATCGTGATCGCAAGTTGCGAACTCACAATAGTATTTAAATGAGCAACGGCGGTGGAGTGAAATCCTATATCGAATTCGAATAGGGAAAATCCTATTCGTGAAAGGATTAGTATATCCTATTAGTAATAAATTTTAGTATATCTATGTGGACAGGAAAATTATGGGAGACAATTTTTTTAAAATAATTTTATAATAGTTATTGCCTTGGCTTGCTTTGGAGACAATTTTTTAAGATAATAATAATATATTTTCTTGTATGCTATAAATTTTAATATATATCAATATTGATTTATTGAAATTAAGGGATTAAAAAATGCTAACGCAATCAATTTTTTTAATAATTGGTTGTTTTAATTAGGAAATGTAATTAAAGTTAAAAACATAATAATTAAAATATATTATTTAATTAATAAAAAATAACTTATGTATAATAAATTTTGGAAACCACTTTCATATATTAAGTTTTGATCATTGAATTTTTCATGACAGCGTGTCAATGAAAATAAATTATTCATATATATATATATATATGTATATATATCACAAATAAAAAAAAATTATATTTAAGCATCATTTAATATTGTTGTTAAAAATAATTTTTGCATTTAAAAATTATTTTGATTTCAAATGCAACGATAAACAACCAAAAAAATTTTTATTTTTAATTTAAAGATTTATTTTTTTAATTAGAGCAATAAAGTTTATCAAAAAAATGCTTTTATAGTGAAAAAAATATGTTTAGTAAAAAATCACTTTACTATTTTTATATTTATAATATTTTATTATTATTATATATTTTTAAATATTTTAATTACTCACAATATTTTTTAATAATAATATCAAAAACTTAAAATTTTTAAGCACAATTTTTTCACCACATTTTTTAAACCCAAACTTTTTCTAACCCAAATGCTAAACTAACTCTTAGTGAAAATTATTCTGCTGTAGATATATTACAAGCTGCATGCTTGCATGATACTGCAATATTACAATGAAATTAATGAAATTTTTTTAAAAATATTTATTAAATAATTTGTTAATACAATAAAAAATTATTTATTTTGATTGGATAAGAATTTAAATATTGATAAGATTAGTAATAAGTAATTACTATTTTGTTAGTTAGTTATGAATTTGATAAATGATAATTTTAAATTAGTTATTACCTCATAAATTTTAAAATTTGACTTCATCAAAGTACTTGCTAAAACCAAAATCGTAAACCAACCATAAAAATTTTTAAGTCATATTTTCAAAATTGATTGATTAAAATTTAATCCTGTAATGGATTACTCTCCATGTATAAATTTTGATATCATCAAATCGAATTATTAGATAAAAAATAAGATCTGATTAAAATTAAAAACATAACAGTTTCACTTTCTTGCCATTGTTTTAAATTTAAAATTGGAAAGTAAAAAATAAAAAAGAAGTAAAAAAAAATTACTTAAGACAAATAAAAATAATTAATAAAATAATAAAATAAAATTAATAACAAAAACTCTTCCAAAGCCACTTATCCTAGAATTAGGAGTTGATCTTCAATAAGAAACAAAAGAGAAAAAAAAAATGTAAAGCTCTTAAATCCCTCTATGCTAGCATCTCAAATCGGCAAATAGGGCAATAATGGCTCTGCTTCAGCCACTTTTCGATGCAATCGCCATGAAAAGTATGAGAACAAGGCATCCGAGAAACATCTGATCCGACCTTGAGTTCCTCTAAACATATCATGCAATCTTGGTCTCCAATTTCCATGCAAACCTTCTTCAGCATATTCTTAACCGATGATTCGTTAGCTGGAACCATGCCATAGTTTCGTGCTTGAAACTCTGATGCCCATTCTGTCAAAGCTCTTCTGATGGAATTAGCCCTTACATGTACCAGAAGTGTTCCCCATAACTCTGCACGTAAAGGCAAGACTTTACGCCCTCTGTTGGACGCCAAGTTTCCAAATGCAAGTCCACGTTCTATAATTTCATGGGCGAAATTGACAGAAAAACGAGAGATTGGGTTGACTCCGAGTCTTGTTAAAGCGGGACCAAGAGTTAGGTGAACCTGGTCGTGGTTTTTCAAAACGTCGAGATCGAAACGAAGAGTTTCTTGTTGTAAGATACGGTTGATGTTGAGGTCGCCGATTTGGTTGGTTATGCAATCATGGGGAACGAATGTGAGACGAATGCTGATGGTTAAGTCAACCTGGTCGAGACTAGGAGGTGGGTGGGTTTCTGGTATAGTCTGGGGTTGGAAAACACGGTGGCGTAGGTGACCATACTGGTAAAAAAAGGAAGCCATGAAACTTTTGGAGAGAAAGCTCTGAGACAATCACTAACAATCTGTATTGTAAGTTTCATCTGTCGTACTTATAGAAGGCAAAGGCGGCAGAGTCAAATCTTATACCTAATAGGAATAGTAAATCTTGTTTGTTTTAATACTCGTCAATATTAAATTATTGATGCAATTGAGTTATTAAAAGAATTAATGCAACAAATTTTTTTAAACATGGTTTTTTTTTTAATTAGGAAATTAAAATGATCATTACTTGTCTAGTTAAAAAATGCTTATATGTTCATTGAAAATTTTTTATACATACATAAATATAATATAGTTTTTTTAATAAAAATTTACATCTTAAGGGTTTAATTTATAAAACTAGTATTATATAAAAGGAAAAACGAAAATAGGAAAAAAAATAACTATATTCTTTAAGCGTTTGTCACTGATGAATTCACAATTGGTTCAAATAGAGCAGGGCAAAGTCCAACGGTAAAAGCAAATATCTAAGGGAATTGGTTAATGTGCTGAGCTAGTGGTGGCAGTCTTCTTGAAATCAATTTTGTCAACCTTAACCTCACCATCGATGAGTTCATACACATATACCACTACACGCAAGCCATCTATGTCCATGAGCACAAAGCTTGGGTTCACATCGTATGTGAAGCTACTATATGCACCAGTGGCAGAGCCAGGATTTATGACAACACCACCCTCGTGCTTGTATGCTTTGAACTGATGGGTGTGTCCTGTCACAAGGATATCGACATCCAATTGCCTTTGTAGCATTGCTAGTGAATCCAAATCCCCCCACGGAATGACCTGTCGAAAGTAAAAAAGAAAACAAAAACAAAAAGAAATATTAATGATTGCCGACTGTTGTTATAATCATACGAAGATCTATTTACAACAAGTTGGAAAGACCACTAAAAGCTTGTCATTAAACAAATTCAGAATAATCTCCTATGGCCAACTGAGGATGTAACCTAGTTTAAAGCTTATTCCTTTTTCTCTTTTTGACAGGGAGATTGAAAGCAATGGGTGGAATTCTGCATCTAACATGGAGAAGGGTATCTAAAACTAGCTAGGAAAGGTTCCCACATCTCAGAATGCCCGTGGAGCAACTGGATCCAACCTTATATCTGCTGAGAGAGTACTTAGCTTATTGGTTAAGCATGTACACCAGACGTTATAAGGAAAACTGAGACAAGTCAATGACACAGTAAAATAGCTTCACACCCTAAGTTGCCCCTCAATCCCAAACATTAGTTTATTCTTGCATCAAACATGAAATAACATCAACAAAGGAACAATGAAAAGCTCTTCACATTTCATCCCATTATTATCGCTCCATAGATGGAAACTGATACAACCATATGATGATTACAAAAATGCTCAAGTGGATATAATATTATTGTCCACTTCATAAAAAAGAAGTAAAAAGTTAAAAACAAAAGAAATTCAAGATGCTTGTAAATGTAAAAAGCTTGGAACCTAGATATATTCTCTGCTGCCACTACATATACAGCAAATCAGGATCTAACTTCATCATATATTACAGTACTCCCAAACCAAAAAAATAAATTGGGATGTCAAATTCTTTTACATCAAATGGAGGGTTAGTACAAACAAAAAATGAAAGTACAGACAGGGGATGAACATAAAACCTGGTGACCATGGCAAATCCCAAGCTTGAACTGACCAATTGTCAGTGTTTTGTTCTCTGGATAACGGGAATCTTCATCATATTCACCTCGAGTAACATGCAAATCAGGACAAAGACTCTTGAAGTAATCATGAACTTCCTGCTCATATAAAGCAAATACAATAATAATTTACTCAGTCTCAGGCACTTGCAAAAGAGGCCTTACAAGGAAAATATTAGAAACAAATCTACAATGCTAAATTGAATATTTGAGATTTTATAGATAAATGGCAGTTTCATCCTGAAAGCAGGCAGAATAAAAACGTCAATCCTCGTGCAAATGGGTTAAGTTGATGCCACATAAAAACGAAAAAATGTAAATCAGAGTTAATGAAATTATATTTGGTAGACTTCATGGAATTGCACAAAATATTTATGACATTGATAGATAATCTGCTTCCACTACTAAAGATTTTAACAGAATAAGTTTCCAGCCAAGGAACTATTCGAGGTGCTTTGTACATTAATGCCTTCTTAGTTCTGTAATTAGACAAGGCCACTAGACTCTGGTGCTCATAATAAGCAATCTATCACATATCTATATAAGATAAAACTAAGGCTAAACCTATAAACTACAAACCGCATAGATGCACAGAAGGCCAACTGACGCAACACTTTGTAAAATTACAGTAGTTAATCTTAAATGTATCACTATCCCTATTACATCATCCGGCCTCAACATAGACATCATTTGGTAGTTCTCACAACATAAGGGCACTCAAGACGGCATAGTTATGTTCTTTCTCGTAATTTGTCTTTTGTGACACCACTGGTAATGTAATGGAGCCCAATAGCATAAACAAGAACAAAAATCTTTTCAAAAATAAATATAATAAGATAGAACAAAAGGGAATTCTTAACATCATTAACTGAAAAAAGAAAAGGCTAAAATAAAAAGTGGTAATATTACTTTGATACAGAGATTGCCAGTGCAAATGATGTGCTGAATCTTGCCAGGAACAAGCATGGACTTGAACTTTGGAGGCAGATCAGGTGCCCTGTGAGGAATATGAAGGTCCCCTATTGCTAACACCAAAACCATCCTTCTCTTACCAACCAAGTCAATAGCTTCCCTTAATTCAATTCTAAAAAAATCTTTCTTTTTCTCTCTCAATACTCAATCATCCTCAAAACCTGCGTAAACCCAGATCTTTTCTCAGCAATTTATTGATAAAACAAGACTACCCATAATAAGAAAAAAAAAAAAAAAGAAAACTTGAAATTTTCACGTGGCAACGATTAGCTTTTAAACCCAGAAAAGGAAAAAAAAAATAGTCCAATAAACTACAAATCCCAAGTCAATGAATAGGAATTATTGAAGAGATCATAAAGAAATTCTAAAGGAAGGATCTTTAATTACCGATTAACTGAAAACAAAACCAGACTCATTCCTTCCAGTTCGTCGCGTCAAGTCGATGTTGTCAAAATAAAAACCGGGAATGTTTGTGGAATTTTCTTCTTATTGGGGATGTTTGGAACTTCGTATAGTGGGTTGCCTTATCCCGAACAACTTTTTCCGTCTGGAAAGACAAGAATAAGTTTTTTATTATATTTCCGACACAAAATAATTAGGTAAGCTTATGTTGAGTAATAATTCGTTTTTTATATTAATCAAAGTTTATGATATATCAAGTGACTGTTTCTGACAGGATAGATATGATTGCTCTCATCTTTTAAAGCTTTGAAATTACCGCTAACATTGTTTTATTGTTTTATTCAAAATTAAATCACTTCGAACATGTACTAATTGTACCACTAAGCTATGTTGCGTGGTTTACTTCACTAGGCCAGCTTTAACTAGGTGATTGTCTCTGCTATTTTCATTGTTCATTTACAGAACATCGATATATGTTATAGTCATGCTTCCAATGCCTTTCTTCAACCGAGGTTTCTAAGTTCAGCTTTCATCAGTTGGATAATAATGGGAAGTTGTTTTAGTAAGAAAACTCAAGACCCCAACAAACCCCAACCTCAACCAGCTCACCCACTGACAGGTTTGTCTCTCATTTCTAGTTCTATCGGTCAAATTTTCAATTTAAAAGTATTGTAGATTTGGACATGAATCTGTTTTCGCGTATTGTAAATATGTTTGGTGTTTCATATCTATTCAAGGAGTTGGTGCCATTCAAAATTCTCGTTCCAAGAAGACCTCTACATCATCAGCTCCACAGCAGACTTAGTCAGGTCCTTCAAAATCTTCAAAAGGTTAATCGCTGCATCACAAATTTGCCATTGTTTTTTAAGAACTGTTTTAACCATGAATGATTCGCTCATGTCATTTTCATTCTTGATGCAGCAAAGCCTTGTAGGGATGAACAATATGGAGTCTCACGCCAGGAGAGAAACAGGCATGTTTCATCAAATTTACGTAAAGGTATAAAAACTACTGAATTCTACAATACCGTAAATAGATTTTCTTTTATAACGCAATCCTCTATTATATTTCCTTTGTAGAAAAGCGTAGGAAGAACAAAAAGCATGGTTCTCCAACAACTCCAAGAGATTGGCCAGTTTCAAAGGTGAAAAAGGTTGGATGGCTTCCTGCTCGGAACATCAACCGCTTTTGTTACGGTGTCTTGAGGGCTTCCACCCAGAAATTCAGCAATCAGAACTTAATTGGCGAAGGCGGTTTTGGACTTGTGTATATAGGATATATAAGTCCATGCAGTATGAATGACGCAAAACCAGACACCGGCAAGGCCATTGCTGTCAAGACGCTTGGAAGAAGAGGGATACAGAGCGATTAAGAATGGCAGGTCTAGTTGGTTCTGACCTAATTATCTTCCTTCGTCAATTTCACATATCTGAGAATTATATATATTCTGTTGAGTGCAGAATGAATCGGATTTTTAAGCACATTAAACCATCCAAATGCGGTGAAGCTTATGGTGTATTGGCATGAGAGAGATCATAGGATGTTGGTTTATGAGTATATGTGCAAGGGGAGCTTGGATGCCCATCTCTTAAGTGGTAAAGCTCAACACTGTACTTTCTGCGCCATAGACAAATACTTAAAACAGAAAAAAAAAATGCCGAGCTGTGCTGATACAATGATGGAAGTAACATTAACAAGCTGTGAATTGGCATACAGAAAACGATACAGAGCTAAACTGGAGTAGGAGAATCAAAATAGCCATTGGAGCAGCCAGGGCAGTACATTACCTTCACAACCGTGCGAGGCCAGTCATTCATCGTGACCTCAAAGGCTCCAGTGTCCTTGATGCTGTCAGTTTCTACCTTGACACTAATTTCGACACTTCTGATTTACACAAACACTAACATTTATCCTCAAAAGCTTACATTGATCCTCCCTGCACAAAGCATTCATTTTGTCAATATGAACAGCTATGAGGGTCACATTGCAGGATTTCAACCCAAAACTGTCAGACTTTGGACTGGCCAGGTACGGACCCCAAGACGACCAATCACATATTACTACGAGGGTCCTTGGCACGAAGGGATACTTCGCTCCGCAATACTTTACAACGGGTATGTATTTCATCTTATCATTCTAAGCCAGAAAAAGTTTTGTATATGGGAGAACAAATAGGTTTGACACCCTTTAATATGAGCAAAATTTTACGTACAATTGGTAGGGCATTTGACACTAAAAGCTTATGTATACAGTTTTGGAGTGCTACTACTAGAAATATTCTCTGGCTGTGTTGCGGTCAAGAAATATACGAATGGCCCGATGATGGATCTAGCTATATGAGCTAAACCACATCTAAGCAACCAAATGGAACTGCACAGTATCATCGAGAAGAAAATACCAAGGAACATCTAGATGGAACATCTAGATGGAAGAAGCTCATATATTTGCTTCAATCATCCGCCACTGCCTTAGCTCAGACCCCAAGGATCGACCTAAAATGGGTGAAATACTAGCAAATCTAGAGCAATTGCAGCAAGATATGTTACTATGCAATTTGAACACACTTGGATTGTCCAAGTACCATAGAAGGGGAGACATATTTTAACAAGTTACCAAGAAGTAACAGATGTCCTAGTTGAGTAGTCCTTTGTCCACCCCTTTGAAATTCTTTCGGTAAAATTAGTTTGTTTCATGAAAATAACCCAACTCATGATATTATATGCAGGCTAGGCACTTCTTCATATGAAAGAAAAACATATTCTACAATATGATAAACATTATGCATCAGGATTATAATTCATAAACGCATGGATAAAATGCTGGGATAAATCATAATTCATAAACAGTGATCATAATTCATAGAATGGAAAAAGGTTAAGATTAATATGCATTACTGAAATTAAGGTACTGATACACTAATGAGAGAAGCTGACTACCACAATGAGAAATTCTAATTCTCATGAAACAAAGGAGGTACTAATTTGTTATATGAAATGCAAAATTGCATTAAAAAAAACACGCTAAAAAATTACCTTTTATAAGCAATGAAATCGATATACAGACACATAGTAAATTTACAGATGAAATCAATGAACTCGTGGGGATTGCCTGTGAGCTGGTAATGGAGAAGCACTGGGTGTTAGATGCATAGGAGATCGATGCTGTCTCATTGGAGATTTCCGAACAGGAAGTGGAACTGAGTGCTGTTCTGATTGAGAGTGTTTCGATGCATTTTTAGGCGCTTCGAGCTGCTCCAGTGCTGCCAAAACTTCTGACATTCTAGGCCTGAGTTTAGCTTCACTACTTAGGCACTGTAAAGCAAGGGTAGCAGCTGTATAAGCACCTTTCTGGGGGTACTGGCCCCCCAACTTAGTGTCCATGATACGAAATAATTTTCTTTTGTCACCCAAGTATGGTTTTGCCCAGTCCACTAGATTCTGCTCCACACCAACTTTCATTTTATCAACAGCACGTCGTCCAGACAATAGTTCAAGCAGCACGACTCCAAAGCTGTATACATCACTCTTAGCCGTCAAGCGACCTGTTCAACAATGGAAGCTTCATTACATGTAACTTCTGACAAGATATTATATGGAAGCTTCATTTACTGGAGACCCAGAAAATGGTTACTTTGCCTAAGCATCCTACTTTTGGACTGAAGGCAGTGTTTATAAAAGACAGAACAGACAATAAGTTCCCTTCACTTTAGATACTTCCATGGCAACTAGAAAAATTATTAGATGATTGGTACTGCCAACTATCAGACTGTAACTTTTGTCATTCGGTACACTTTTTCCCACTAAAAGAGATGAAATATTGAAACCCAGAGGAGTAAGAAAGAGTCAAGAAAGAACGTCATCAGTAGTTGCAGACAAAAAAACGTGAATTTCCATGTTCAACCAGATAAGTTTCCTTGTCATTGATTTTGAAGCTTTCTTTCTTAAAGAACAATGTAAAGCAGATACCTTCTCAGTTTTATGGTAAGATTTAAATTTTTTCAGCAAACAAATATATCTGACAGAAAATTAAGATAACTAAGAATTTACCAGCAGGCTTTGAAAACAGCAAGCACTATTATGGATTTCACTAAATCTCGTACCTGTAGCAACATATTCAGGTGCTGCGTAGCCTTGAGTGCCCATGACCTGAGTTGACACATGAGTCCTATCACCAGTAGGCCCTGCCTTGGCCAATCCAAAATCAGAAAGTTTTGCATTGAATTCCTGCATCCAATGGATTATTACCATCAGCAACATATATAAAATTTATAAAACATACAATTTCAGACATAATATTGAAATGCACAAATTATTCTTTTTCTTTACTCAGCATACCGCATCCAGTAGAATATTAGAAGCTTTGAAATCGCGGTATATGACTTGGGATTTTAAATCATGAAGGAAAGAGAGTCCTCTAGCAGCACCTATGGCAACCTTAAGCCTCACTGCCCAAGAGAGTGGTTGTGGCCCTCCTGTAAAACAAGACATAGCATCAAAGGTTACAAAATGCTTAGTAGTTACACAATATCCAGATGTTCTATTTTTCTGTTGTTTAAGATACAATAGTACATGGGAAGTGTCCATCAGGACTCATCAATAGTTCTAGCCATGGCAACTGTATGTAGGTTTATGGGTTCAGAACAGGCATGCTGTCAAAGCCTTGAGTAAAAAAAAAATAAAAACTGGACAGGTATGAAGGAAATCATCCTCATTCTTAACTATTAAAGTTAAAAAGGAACCAGAACAAGCCAATCAACTTCACTCTATGTCATCCAGGTAAGACCAATATATGTAAAGCAGCTCGGTACTTCATTATCCTTGAAACTAAAATATGAGAGGAAAGGTTTCCAATTTTTTGTTTTCTTGGCAACTATTTGAAGGTAAGGATTAATTTCCAGAGAGCAACAACATATAAAACAATGGAATTGGATTCCAAAAACCTTCCTTATCAATTCATGGACACAATACTTTTAAAAAGATGATTCTCTGAAAAAATTCGTAGGATGTGATACTTACTTCTAAAAAGATGATTCTCTAGGCTTCCTTTAGGCATGAATTCATAGACCAAAAGTCGGTTCTCACCCTCTGAGCAATATCCAATCAACTTAACTAAATTTGGATGATGAAGTTGGCCAAGATAATCAAGTTCTGTCTGAAATCAACTAACTATCAGTAAATAGGACATACACACAC